TACAAATAAATACTATAATTTCAACCATAAAATTTTGAATTTTTATTAGCCAAGACATATGTTATTATAATTTGACATACATATATATACATGCTCAAGAAAAAAAAAATACATATGAGAATAATGATAATAAAGTTTAAAAGAAAAAAATTATACCAAATAAGTTGAAGTTTAAAACAAAAAGTCTACTTAAGCTCAAGAAACCAAGCTTCTATACTAAAACTAACTTGGATATGGTCATTCAAAGGTCGATTAGTCTGGGTCTTGATCACAGATCAAGCTGACTTGATTGATTTTTTGCTCTTTTTTTCTTTAAATCTCCAAACTTTGACTTTTCAAACATTTTTCTTTTCTTTTTTTTACTTTTCATTCTTTCTTTTTCTCATATTTCGTATTTTCTCCCTCTTTCTTTCTTTCTCTTTTTTCCCCTAATCGAATCAGACTTTTTTTTTTGCAGTCAACTTTTTTTTTTCTTCTCTCTTTCCTTCCAATCACCAATCCTTCTCTCTTTTTTTTTTTCCTTCCTCTCATTTCTTTCATTTCCTCTTTCTTTTTTTCTCTCTTTTAGCCAAAACAAACACCTTATCCCTCTTCTCTTTTCTTTCATTAAGTTTTTTCTTTAAAAAAAATCAAATTCTCTCTTATGCTTCGTCACTGATCAATGAGGAATGAGTTTTTTTTTTTTTATGTTTTTGATTTTCTTAGGGTGTTATGATTTCAGGGTTCGGGTCATAAAATGTGGATAGTCTATTGTATTTCTTTGGGCTGTGTTAGGTAGTGTATGTTAGAGGTTTTCGAGGGTGGTTGGGAACTTAAATAGTATCTTTTAGCTAGGTGTTGGGGCTATGAATGGAAGTTGTTAAGGTATGATTCTTAAGTGGGGATTGATGGGTGCTGTAAGTGGTTATGGGATTGTGTTGGTGGTTAGTTTAGTAGTGATGGCTTGAGTTGTTTCTTTTTTTAGGTTTCTTAGTCTCCGAATTCTTGCTTGTCAATTATGTACTATTCATTAATTCCATGTTTTTTTTATTGTCTTAAAGCATTTTAACACCATTCCAAACCTAAAAAAGTTAATTTTGCTTGATTAATAATTTTGGAATGTAGTTGTATAATGCAACAATGGCTATTGATCTTGTTGTTTGTTGGATTTTTTTTATCATAGTGTCTTTGATGAATTTATGTTATAAGTTAGTGGAACAAACATAATGGCTAAATTAAGAGAAGATAAAATGAAATTTTCAGAAAAGGAAAAATGAAGGAGACGTTGCAAATTGGCAGCCGATTCTTCTTTTTTTTTTTTAATTTTATTTTTGCTCTTAAGAAAATGCATTTAGATTCTAGGCTTTAAAATTTGAATATGGACTTTTATTGGCTTTTTGGCTTCTAAAGCCAAATGAAATTATCATGAATTTAAACCAAAATTGAATTTTAACCCAGAATTAGACTTCAAGCTTGAAATATTGACTCAAATTATTATTAGGCCTTCAAGCCCAATTGACCCAAATTTGAATTGGATTGGGCTCAACCCATGTAAAATTATTTTAAATATTTAATATAACGTTAAAATAAACGAAGTCAAATTAAAACATTCAAATCGCTTGAAATTGATACATATGAACTAAAATCAAAATTGAACAAGATGAAATTATCTCAAATAAAATTAAATATCTATAAATATTATTTAATACCTTAATTTAAAACAATAATTTAATAAAATATTATATTTATATATAATTAAGATATAATTTATTTTAAAATAATATTTTTATGAATATAACATAAATTAAAATCATTAAATTAATTTTGAATTAAATATGAGTCAGAGTAAATTTTATATATATATATATATATGATTGAATTCAAGTATAAAATATAATAACTTAATATCAAATAAAAATTGAGATAAACAAAAATTTAACCCAACCCGATTTGTTGCTATCCATAATTATTATGGAGGGGATTCAGTTCAGGCTATTTATGAAGTGTAAAAAGATGAATCAAGCATGATGAATTGTGAAGGATATCAAGGAATTAGCTTAACAGTTGGGGAATTTTCTTTCCGACATGCATTCCGTGAAGTTAATACAATAGCTCATACTATTGATAAGTTAGTTGGTTTTTTTAGTCAAAAACTTATGCGGTTTGATTTGATACCAATCCATATTGGAGCTCAAAAAGACCACAAAGGACAAGTATTAATAGAGTGTATAAAGATACCTCCCTAAACCTATGCCTCCTAAATACAAGCCTATATACTAACTAGAATTAGATTCACATTCAATTGTAAGAGTTTTTTTTTTTTCTTTTAATTATGTTTTAAATATAAGAGAAGTAAAATTTTTATATCAAATTTTAATGAATAATAACATATAGACAAATATAAATGTATTTATTTTTTAATATAAATTATCATTTAATTATATATAAATGTAGTTTTTTTTATTAAATTAAAATATTAAATAATAAGTTTATTAATATAATACATATATATAAATAAAAATTAAATAAATAATAAAATATATCATTTTATGGATCCTGAGGAAGATCGAGATAGAGAACCTCAATTTTGATCTCGACTTAACTCAAATTGTTTCAAAAGATAAAACTTAACCAAATCTTTATTTAAAAAAAAATCAATTAGATCGTGATGAATCGAAATTCATTGAATATATTTTATTTTGTCATCCATACATCTATTAGCTTTTTCTTTACAAAATTTATAAAAAAAATAAAATTTAAAAAAAACAAAAAGAAACCACACGTGAAGTTATTCAATTAAAGTATTAACTAATTTTTTTAATAGAATACATATATAAATACAAAATTAAATAAATAATAAAGTGTATATTTTTATATATAATAAGGTTGACATGTATCACCTAAAATTTTACTTTTACTTCAACTCAATTAAAAAAAAAAAAAAAACCTCAATCCGATTATCTCGAATTAAAATAAAGCATACCAATTGGATTGAGACAAAACAAAACTCATTGGATATGAACTATTTTATCATTTTTATCTCTATTGATTTTTTTTATTACATAATTTATCTAATAAAAAAGAAAAAAAAAGAAAACTTTAAAAAAAAAAAAAAAAAACACACATACACACAAAAGGAGAGATGCCTCATGAATATCTAAGATGGAGTGAAACACTTCAAATTCATCTCTAATTCGATCTCATTTTCATAAAAAAAAAAAAAAAAAACTATCCAATCTCCATTGAAAAAAAAAATATATACTTATTTTAGACTGTGTGAATCAAAATAAATTGAACATGGATTGTTTTTGTCATTTCTACTTTTATTAATTTTTTTTTACAAAATTTATTTACTAAAAAATAAATAAAAAATCAAATACACATATAAAAAACAAAAAATAAATTTAATAAATAAATAAATATGAAGGAAGGATGAGGTAGCACATAAACAACTTTACCTTCCTCCATAGTCCCTTCTCTACAAAATTAATACATTAGATTTATTAGATATAATGAACAGATTTCCTTTGAAAAAAAAAAAAAAAAAAAACACGGTGTCCAAAAATTGTGCTCATATCCAATCAGAGAATGACTGAGTTTGGTTTGGGGTCACCTCGTATGGGCTTGAACTTGTATCCAAAAAAATGTGAACAAAGGCAGCGACCACAAATGCTTTAGCATTGGGCTATAAATACAAAACACCCAGTTTGCAATTCCGGCAATAAAATCTCAAACTGCATTTTTGGGTACTTACCATATTTTCGTTTTTAATTGTTGGGTGTTGGAGTTTTTAGATTTTTTTTTTTGGTTAAACTTTATAAATATCAATAAATGTGCAAGACCATTCGCCTTTGTTATTTGTTATTTAAAATTATTAGTATTTAAATTTTGATCACTAAAATTAAATGTTATATGCTTTATCAATAGATAATAGATAATGTGATCGTTGGTAATACAAATCCATTATAATTTCATTTATGGAGTTTACAAACTCTATTTCTTGACTTATTAATCCTAATTTTTTTTAAATAAAAATCCTTGGCTAGGATAGAAAAATTATTTTAGTTAGCAATAATATCAAAGAAATATGGTATATCAATCAAATTGCCCTACCGCAAAATTGTTTGTTTTCAACAGTCCCAAGATTACGTTGTTTTTCTTTTGCAAAGTGAGGGATAGATTAGCTGCATAAGTACTTGATTAGTCCATGTAATAAGAGTGAATTTTCATTTTAATGTCTCTATATCAATTTCGATTAATTAATCCATGCACTCTCATATATGTGCTAAATTTAAAAATAATCAACAATATCGTGAAGATAAATGTCTAACTGTGATACAAGAAACTAACAAACGAATTTTCACTTTGTTTTCAAGTGAAATTTTTTTTTTTAAAAAAAAAGGGAAAATTGCTAATAATAATAATAATAATAATAATAATTAATTAGGACAATTTTTTGAAAAAAATCACCACGGTAAAAAATTATTTCAAATTTTTTCATGTAAACATAATGTCACCTAAAATTAACTTGTCAACTCCTTGCATGACCACCATGTCACATACTTAATGGCTCCTCTTAACGATGTTACAATTTTAGATGCCAATTGAGTGATCAGGTGTAGTTTTTAAATGGATTTCTTTTGTTTTGCTCATTTTGGAATCTGGTTCGAATTATTCAAATTATGTGAATATTTTAATTATTTAAAATTTTTTTTCTTAAATTTAATATTTGAATCATTTGAATTATTTAGGTTCTAGCTATCAAATTTTGATATATTTTAATCTAAATTATTAAATTTTAAAATTAATTTAATTAATTATTAAATATTTTGTATTATAATTTAATTACGGAATATTTAGTTTTAGAATTTTGTTTATATTACTTCGGATCAGGGTTGCTCAAATAATTTTATGTTTATATCATTTCAAATTTAGATCGAATAGCTCATATAAATGATTTTTCGAAGCTAAGTTTGAAGAAGTAAATTGAGTTTGTATTGCTGAACTACCTGCAAAATTTGCTCTTTGAACTAAGTTTGGACATTATAACTCTTTTTAAGTCGATTAAAACCACAATAACAACTTCCTTAATCAACTACTAAAAACAGGACCACTCGTGTGATTTGAAAGGAAGAAACTAGCAAACATTCCGCCTCTAGTTTTAAGAAAACAGATAGATAATTCCACACTAGGCTCACTAGCGTTCCCATTCAGTGGTTGCAACATTATCTTTCCATAGAGACAAATCATCCAATTCTCTTCTGATGATATCGTACTGTGTTCCTGGATCCATGCTCGGTTGTTCCTTGAATGCTGCTAAATGAAAAAGGCCGCTGCAAAGCACAACATAAATGTTTTCGCTACAGTGAGAAAAATTCCTAGTGTAAATTGAACTTGCGTAGAAAGACAAGGCCTTAACAAATAACAATTAAGTCTTTTTGTTCCATTCCGATTCCTCAATCTAGAAGATAGCAGCGGAATTGACTTCAACAATACAAAAGACTAATGTTACAGAATAAAACTATACAACCCTCTTCTCTTCCCCCCTTCTTATATCATATCCATCAAAGATTACTCCAACTGCCCATAAAAAACAATGAGGCAGAAAGGGTCTAAATAAGGTTTTCCAATAGATGAAACAAAGGACAGTTCATGGATCGATCTATTGAGTCAAACGACAAGGACAATGATATGTGTTTGACAGTATTGAACAAGAAAATAGAAATTATTCTTTTCCTTTATTTAAGCATAGCAACGTGCAAGAACCAAAACAGTGAAGAAACCTATTTATTTCACTTTTTTCTCAACAAAATAAATAGCTACTCAATAAAAGGGAAAACAAAAAACAAACAAACAAATACATACAACTCTAGAGATGGACAGTCATAAGTACCTTGGTCCTGGAGGATTTGATGACAGCCATCAACAACTTGTCTCCTGCTATTTGTCTTACAAATTGTATCAGTTCATGCCTTGATATTTTCTTATCCTGCATAACAAAATTTATAGAAACATTAGATTGTAATTTGTAAATAAAGAACAAGACAACTGAAAACGCCAAATAAACAGAACCTACCTTGTGATCTCTATAATACTTGGCGATCAAATTGATAGAAGTCCGAGGTAAGAACTCCGAAAGTGCTGATATAAGAGCTGGAAATGATATCCAAGGTGAAGTTGGCATCTTCAACCTATCTTGCATCCCAAGGAACCCTAAACAATAAGCAACCAAAGTCAAAATCAATCTGAACATCCTCAGCCTTTGACTTTCAAAACTTTTTAACGCCATAAAGTCGAAAAAAGAAAAAGAAAGAGGAGTTTTTGGATTGCTTACCTTTAACGGAAGGAGGAGCTGTGAAACTCAAAATGAACTCTGGCAAGATATGAGTATTCACATGTGTACTCCACAAAATATACTTTTTTGGTGACGACAAATCGTCCACACCAGAATCAAACTCATCTGAACTTGGATGACATTGCTTGGAACCAGGCTGCACCACCTCTGACTTCCCCAATATTACGCGGCAGAGCATCAAATACCGCACCCCATTTTTATCAACCATTGCATTCTTCACACTAAAGCAAAACAATAAATTTTACAATGGATATCAAATAATAACCCAACCATGTCTTTATCAAATGAAGCGACAGAATAAGAACATAACTAACAGCAAATGATTTTGTCATCACGCTTTTACCTGTCCATGGGAGAATCATCGGGGGAAAGATAGACGCCGCAACCATACAATCCACTGTTTTCAGGCATTCCACAATGACCAAAACCATGATCAACAATCTTAGAAATCTCATCTCTAGTGGCAGGACACCAAGCATACTTAACATTGGCGTCACCGCCACATTTTTTCTCCATTGCTTTGATGAAAATCTCGAAAGATTGTAGCCTTGCTTGCCAAGTAACACCTAGAAAAGCGTTTTTTTGGATTGTCAAGTCCTTAGTATGAGCCGCCATAGTACCCAAATTGGAAAGAAACCTTTTCTTGATAAGGTCATGTGCTTTGTCCCCTGGGAATAACCGAATCAACCCATTGTTAAACAAAGAAGATTGATCAAAACTGGGACCAGAAACGCAGCTTTCGCAATCGGAAATAATAGATTCTTGATCATTTGATGCCTCTAAAGAAGTTGAATTTGAAGTAACCGTCTGAGTTCTGTCGGAGCCTTGTGTTTGGAAAGAAGGAAAATGGTTGTATTGGTTTTGGTTATAAGCCATAATAGCAATAATTTAGAGAAAGAAAAAAAAAAAAAAAACAGATCGCGTAACAAAAGCTAAAGCGATTTACAATCAAAAGAACTAAAAATTTGAAAAATCTATGCCTTATAACATAAAGCCAGAAGAAAAAGAAAACAGACAATATGTACGAGAAGAATCTATTGAAAACGAGTCCAAAGAAGCCAGAAAAATTGGGGGAAAAAAAAAGAGAAAAGAAAGAAGAAACTAATGATACATCTCGGAAGGGGTATAAATAATAGAGAAGAGAAGAAACAGAAAAGATTGAAAGAATTTGAAGTTAAATAGGGGATTAAGGAGAAGGGGGGTTACTTTGCTTGGAGAAGAGAGAACGATAAAAAAAGAGGGAGAGTTGTTTATATACAGATATAATGGGAAACTAACGGAACCGACTTTTTCAGAACTTGGGGAGGAGGGAAGGAAAGACAGGCGGTGGGCGGGTGAGATCAGATGGGCCGCTAATTGTTTTATTGTTTTCATATGGGAGAGGGAAGCCAGTCGTTTTGGGTAATAAAAGAGGCGGCTATTCCTTCCCTAGCTTGCTGGATTTTGAAATAGGCTTGCAACTGGATTAGGCTTTGGGATCAAGCAACATCAATACAATCTATACTTATTAAAACTATCCCCCAATCTCTATTAAGTTGACACTTGGCATGACAGGTGCCGTAATTTTATTGGACTAATTTTTCAATTAGAGTCCCCTGTTTGAAAAGCTTTATTAAATTGTTTTTGTTTTATCACATGGGATGTTAAGGGATGGTATGATATTTTAAATGGGTTAATAACATTTTAAGGTAGATAAAGAAATGTCAAAGAAAAGGAAATCCAAATGATTAACTGAATCAAAATGAGTTACAATTATAACGTAACGACATCTTTAATAAGAATTCAAAAATTTAAAGATTTTTAATTTGATTTTAAAGAATATAATAACGTCATTTTGTACACCTATTCAAAATCTCAATTTTATGGAAACCTCACCGGACTACTTCTCCGAATGGTACATTAATAGATACGCTGCAGTGGCCACCCTGAGGTGGGTTACCGCTTGGGAAATTAGAGAGCCTATAGTAAAGGTAGGCTTGAAGGCGAGTGGCCATTTTGGTAATTTTGTACAAGAGAGGAAGAAAAAGCTTGCTTGGAAGTTAGAATTGAGTATTGGATTCTCCATCTCAAGGGCCTAAAGGCTAGTGGCAAATTGATATTTGAATTAATTTAATTTTTCAATGATGGCAGTTTATTAATTTGATTTTTGAAATATCATTTTATTGCAGTTTACTTAAAATTTCTTCAATTATTTTTTGAATTCTAGGTTCATTATTTTATAATGTTTTGTTTTGTTTGTATTGTATTAATATTATTGTACAATCCAATCGAATTTTTACATACAAAAAAAGATATTGAAAAACTTATTTCATATTTAAAAACAATTAAATATTAATCATTCCTAACATCAGGGACGACGATCATCCACAGACGACTTGCGTCTGCTAAAATGCGAACCACCAAGCTGCATTTGACAGCAAGAAAGTATATACATAATAGTGAATTCCAATATCACAAAGTTTTTCTCTAAATAAATAAGAACCCAAATAATAAAATCTTAAATCACGTTTTTGAGAGACTTATTTTTAATTTAATTAGTTTACGTTGATTTGTATGAATCTGGGACTGAGTGTTTTTTTCAAGGAAAAATTATTTTTATTTCCCATAGGGTTTTTACATATGTCTATCATTATGAATTTGGTTTTGGATAAGTATTATTATGACTTTTGGTTGCACATGGTATTGAAGATTGGTGTTTCATTGAATTTTTTAGGAATATCCTAAAGAACCGACATCAGATTTCTTTGTTTTTTAATTTCTTGCGTCATCGATGAGTGGACCTCGGCAGGAGTTAGGTTACTTCTGTTCAACCTCGGGAGGAGTTAGGTTATTTCTGTTCAAATCCACCTTTCTTATAGTACAATTTTCTTGGTAGGATTAGTTCTTCGACTGTCAGAAGCAATAAGTTATACAAAAAAAAAAGTTTTATATTTTTTAATTATTAATTTTAATAGATTTAAAAGATAAAAAAATAAAAAAAATAATTTTATCTTTTAAATATATTAAAATTAATAATTAAAAAATATAAAACTAAAATATTCTACTGTTGTAAGTTAATTTCTTTCCTATAGAAAAGATAAAAAATAGAGTAGGGATAATAAATTTACTAATTTGCTTAAAAAAGGGAATTATGTTCAATGTAACTACTTTTTATGAATATAGATGAGAATATCATCTAGAACCCTAACCTAATGCAATATTAGTGTTGGGATATATATTAAGGTTTGAAATAAAAAAAAAAAAGTAAATATTAAGGTTTAAATTTTAACTTAAATCAATTTAAACTTCGACTTTAATCAAATGATTACTTTAATTAAGCAATTACAGGAGGTATAAGAAATATAAACTTCTTACCAATAACAACTAAGTTAAAATGCTTATATTCTTTGAATTTTGTGTCTAACAGGATCATTTTGGTACATATAAAAATATTATTTTTGTCATAAAAGGTTAAGGCTATTTTGATAGCATCAAAGTGGATATGAGTATATCTTTGTTCTGACTACCGTTGAAAAAATTCTTTTAAGATGTGAAAAGTAATAGAGTGTTCTTAAAGTCCTGCTGGAAGAATACATTGATTAAAGTTTGTGAGTTGAACATACTTTTTTGGAGCTTGGTATATTAGTTTTGAAAGAGTTTTTAAAGATCTAGTAAGAGAAGGGGAGGATTTTGAGAAAGTTGTATAAAGATTTTCAAGGGAAAGAACTATTTGTTCAATTTTTTTTTTCTGAGATATAATATACTTCATATAAGAACTTGAACTTAGAAGATGAAGACTTTTTAAATACAGAAAAAATAGGTGAAGACAGACTAAAAGAAGATCTAAAAGAAGAGAGTTGAGAACTAAAATTACTGGTAGTTGATAAATTCATGAAAGTAAGACTCTCTTTTGACTTTTCTTATCTAACTTCAATAATCAAGAATTAAAAATATATTTTCTTCTCACTATCTTGGCAAGCTTCAAGCTCTGATATCATTTTTATACACAATAACAAATAATAGTGCCAAGGCTCTGACAACTGATAATTTTAGTTCTAGGCTCTCCCAATGATAAAGTCGTAATACTATCTAATACTATTTTTCAACAACATACAAATCAATTAACTTATCAAAATAATAACAAACACAAACGTTCTCTCATTTAGCTTGTGGAATCCTTTTATCTTCGTATTTTCTATTTCTTGCACCTTCAATCCTTGCCATCTAGGCCTTTTTAACTCTTCCACTTTCTTCTTGCTCCTACTTGCGGATAATAGGTGGAACTTAAGGCTTGCAGGTTTGGGTTGTCAATTTTACATTCTTTTCGGGCTAATTCACTTAATGAACTTTTTCCAATGGGCTTAACATACACTTCGTATTACCAAAGGTCATGGGCTTAGTAAACTTCATACAAATATATGTGTAAACAGGACCAGAAGGAGAGTTTTTTTTTTTTTTTTTCCTTCTTTTACTCTAAATTACTAGGATTTGTATTATGATTATCGAAATCAAAAATTAATATTTTATTAATAAATTAAACCACTGGTAGCAAAATTGACAGAGTAATTGCAATTACTTGTATTTATTTTTATCATAGGAACTCAAACAAATGAATTTATGAGCCTTCTAAGTTCAAAACTAAATCGTTCCCAATGTGTACCTAACAAAACTAGCTAATATAGTCTCCAAGGGACAAGAGGCATTTTGAGCAATGGGGATGGAGAAAAACATTGGCATTGTTGACTTATCATGGTTCTGACCAAATTCTTTAGGTGATGCAATCCAACAGTCCAATCCCAAAGAAATCATCTTGTGTTTGGTGATGCAGTAGCATTGGGGCTCTAGGTTTATTTCTGTTCGTCGTAAGCCACATAGCTATCATACCTACTCAACAGTTTGTGTCTTTAGGAAAAGCTAGTCATTGAGGCAGTCGGCCAGACAGGTTAGGTGCAACCCAAACTTTGGAACTACCCTTTTATGCACCTGTAGAAGAATGCCATAGCCATTCTAGGTCACAAGGAACAAGCAACATTGATCTGACAGACTATCAGCCAGAATCAGTCGCTGGCAGCCCAGATATGGCGCGCAAGGGACCAGATTTGGCGCTGGCAGCATAGATCTTAGCGCAGCTAACGACCGGATATTCCGTCGTAGCCAAGACCGGCACCCTGCGCATCGGATTCTGTCCTAAGCTGCATTCGGAAAGTGACTTCGCAAGAAGATTTCACCGGCATTGGGTGGAAATTGAAGGAATAAGAAAGAAAATGGAAAAGAAATAAGCAAAAGGGAAAAAAAAAGTATAAAATGGAAAAGAGGCAAGGAAAGAAATAGAAAATATAAAAAGAATTTTAAATTCTTTTAGAAAGAATGTACATATCTATACAATTAATTTTATAAAAAAAAATAAAGAAAGAGAGGGTGTTCGCATGGCTTTTTTAATTTTTTATTGTTTTTTAAATTTTTATTTTTTTTGTTGCTTTTATTTTATTTTTTATTAAAATTTTTTTACTTTTAAATTTTATTTTTTATTAAATAAATTTTGTAACAAAAATTAATAAATATAAAATAATAAAATAATTTATATTCTATTGATTTTGATTCGGATCAATTTAACATAGATACCTTTATTTAAAAATAAAAGATTGGATCTAGTTTTTTTTTAATTGAATTCTTTTTTTTTTTTTTGAAAGTGAAGTTTAGTTGGAGGTAAACTTAGGGTGTTTTGTATGTGTCATCTTTTTTTTTTTAATTTTTGATTTTTTAGGGGTTTTGATTTTTTGTTTTAATTTTTTTAGTTTTTTATTAATAAATTTTATAATAAAAAAATTAATTAAAATACATATGACAAAATAACTCAAATATCATGAGTTTCAATTCACCTCAATTCAATTAATTAGTGATCATTTTTTAATTTGATATAATTTGATTCAGGGGCAAAAGCAAGAATTGAGTAAATGGGGTGTCAAATAGTAATTTCAAATGAGAAGAGGGCCAAAGTAATATTTTGGTGAGCTTGGGGTACTGTAGCATAAAAGAGGTGAAAATTTTTAAGGGGCTATGGTTTCTGCCTGCTACCCTAGCTTCACGATTGAGTTTTTTTTTTTTTTTTTTTTTAAATTGAGTTTGGATAAGAATAAAATTTTTACTATTAGACTTCGATCTTGTTATATATCAAAAGATATATATTTAATTTTTTATTTATATATGTATTTTATTAAAAAATATTAATTAATATTTTAATTTAATAAATTTATGTATTATCGCATTTGACTTCTTTTTTTAGTCATTTTATTTGTTTTAAAATTTTTTATTATATAAATTTATAAAGAAATAGTTAATGGATATATGGATAACAAAATAACATGGGTTTCAGTTTGTCACAATCTAATCAATACATTTATTAAATAAAGATTGAGTTAAATTTTGCATATTTGAACAATTTAGATTAAGTTATAATTGGGTT